ATTCCCACTTTGTGTGCCAACATCCCATGGTTCTCTAGGTGTTTCTTGCTTGAAAACTTGTTCCTTCCCTCCCAGCAACCCACGTGGTCTTCCATACTCCTTCGTGGCTTTTGTTTTCCAGCAAAGTGCTGATGATTTTGCAGGTTTTTATTTTATTTATATGGGCCTTCTAGAACAATTGATTGGCTTATCAAATAAATGGGTCAACTTCACCAAGTTTTGGCCTATTTTGTTGAGGTGTTGGGCTAATTTTGGTTAAGCTAATGGGCTATTTTGGTTGAGATATTTTTCCTTTTTGTGCTCACCCACATGTTTGGGCCTAAGAAATAGGCTTGGGTTCCGAGGCTCCCAAGTAACCCGGAATCTCCATTTCTCGGCTCATCAATGGGCCTCATAACAACTTATTACCATCCATACCACAACTCACTCAAGCAAGCCCTGGCATCTTGTGTGGCTTGGGCCCACTTAAGCTTGTAGCGTGGCGTGGCATGTGTGCAAGCACATATGACGAACTTTCGCGTGCCTAAATTGAATTTTTTCTTGGTAAGGTATCACATTGGGCCGAGAATTTATTTGGGGCGAACCGTGGATTTTTTGGGCCTCAACAAAATTATATTAAAATATTATATAGTGGCTGAACTTATCACTTGTAATTTGTCAAAATATTACCGACTAAAACACGTATATATTTTATTCATATTTTTTCCGTTCCGTATTTTACTAATTATGAAATAACGTGAGAGGCTAAGATTATTTCTTGTTGTAACAAAAATGTAAGATGGTCATTTGGCAATCTCTGTGCCAACCAGAACAACAATTTCAAACAAAAATTTATGGGTATAGTAGTAATTGAGGTTGTAGTATTCTTCATGTAAAGTGTTGTTTAAAATGTGAAGCAATTACCAAGAACACTCCAACTCAACATACAATTCTCTACAACAAATAATGTGTGCAATAACAGAATTTAGTAGCTCTCGAGAGAATGAAGTAGAACAAAGGCAAACATTCCCACAAAAATGAAGAAGACTCTCAAATTAATTTCCTGTGAAATTTCTCTATTTTCAATATCTGCTTTGGAGATGCTGAACATAGCAAATTATCATCCATAAATTATAAACTAATGCAACTAGAAGTGTCCTTATATATATATATATATATATATTTTTTTTTAATATTTAATAAATAGTATAGTTGTGTGGCTATACTTCTATCAAATATATACTATTTTTGACACATGGCCACTCTTTTTTTTTTAAATTACAAATAGTGTCATATTTTCTTTCAACTAGTCTATCAGGCTGTCTCTCAATCCACTATAGGTGTTTGTTTATTCTCTTCTCTTTTCGACTCTCTTATTTTTCTCTATGGAAAATCTTGTCTAGTTATTGGATGAATGTGTAAAACATGGCTTGAACCCAGACAACTATCTCCTTCGAGTCCTATTGTAGGCTTGGATCAACTTATTCACCTATTGTTAGCGGCGTTCAAGGTGTGGTTTTTTTTTTTGGTTAGCTTAGTGAAACTGGTCTTTTTCGACACACTTACAACCCTTGAATAGGTTAGAGACTCGCGAACCGTCCTGACTGAATCTCCACCTTTCGCCTACCGATAACGGCGATTCCGGTTCCAATTTCTTTGTCTCACTTGCCTGTTTTTCCTTATACACCCATTGTAGAAGACGGATTAAACCTAATACTATTCTGCCAACCCCATCAGGTTTCCTCGTTTTCAAGCCCATCCCTACGTTACTTTCTGTAAACCCAGGTATCAAACTTCATCTTCTCTTTATGATCTATGATGACATAAGGAAATGACCAAGGCCAGTCTACCTAATACAACTATGACATGTGGCACTTTTACACTACCAAAAGCCAACCACCTATTGTGGCCACCTAATCCGACCACTGAGAATTCACGTGCATGGCTAGACCAATTTGAACTAAGGAGGAAAAAATAACACCGACTTACTTGCGACTTCCACTAGTCAAAAGGCCACTAGGTTGAAAGATATCATCTTCAAGAGTGACTTGGAATGTAAATATCCGTGTTAAAAGCTGCTTAAAAAACATTCAAGGAGATGCATATTGTGTCATGCACCATTCTAAATATAGATTTCAATTGTTTAGAAGTACAATATTATATAATTACGTTTAATATTTGGTGTCGTGGGAAACCACACAGAATAATGGTACGTTAGCTTAAGTACGCCCACGAATCACCTGAAGAGCAAACCCGGCCAAATCGCCTTCTTTCGCCCACCATTAGAGGCATTCAAGATGTGGCTTTTTTTGTTAGATTTGTGAAACCAATCTTTTCCGATGCACCTACATCCCTAAATTCGGTTAGAGACATGTGAACCGTCCCAGCCGAATCTCCATCTTTCGCCCACTATTAGCAACAGTTTCGGTTGTAATATTTTCACATCATCGAGCCCGTCAGCTTTCTAGTGTTCGTTTCTCCATACTTCCAATGTAGAAGACAGATTAAACCCAATAAGATTCGACCACCTTCATCGATTTTCTCATTTTCAACCCCATCTATACACCACTCTTTGTTGACCCAAGTATCAAACTTCATCATCTCTTCATGATCTATCTTGACATAAGGAAAAGACCAAGCTGGGTCTACTGAATACAACCATGACATGTGACATTATCGCACTACCAAAGGTCAACCACCGACCGTGGCCACCTAGTCCGACTACAAATTCACGGTTTAACATTTGGGGCCGTTTGTAGGAAACACATAGAAATGTGGTACGTTAGCTTAGTGAAACCAATTTTTTTCAACGCGCCTGTAGCATTCTACCTTGTTAGAGAGCCGCCAACCAACCCATTCAAATCTCCACCTTTCGCCTATTGTTAATGGTGGTTCTGGTTGCAGTATCTTCGCCTCATCGAGCATGTCTTCTCACTAGCATGCTTTTGTCCATACACCCACTATAGAAGACAGGTTAAATCCAATAAGATTTGGCCACCGCCCATCGGTTTTCCTCGTTTTCAAGCCTATCCCTATGCCACTTTTTGTCGACCCTGGTATCAAACTTCATTCTTCCTCATCTATGTTCACATGAGGGAATGACCAAGCCCAATCTACCAAGTACGACCATGACACGTGGTATTATCGGACTACCATAGGTCCGCTATTGATCGTGGCCACCTAGTCCTACCATTGAGAATTCACCATTTAACATTTGGCGATGTTTGCGAGAAACCACACAGAAAAGTGGTACATTAGCTTAATTACACCCTCCACCTACCCTCGAACACACTTGGCTGGATCTCCGCCTTTCGCCTATCGTTAGTGGTGTTTAAGGTGTGGTATTTTTTTGTTAGCTCATTCAAACCAATATTTTTTGACGCGCATGCAACACTCAACCTGATAAGAGACCTACAAACTGACACAATCGAATCTCTGATGTGCCCTCATAATGTATCTTTTACCTAAAAACTAGTCCTCCAGTTTGAAATGTGGAAGGGCCAAGGCCACTCTTGGTCTAAGAGTGGCTCCACCAACAACATTCAACATGCGCCTAGAAAACTCGTATATACCTTAAATCCTTTGTTACCTTAATGTTCCACAAACACACTTTGTTACCTTATGTGACAAAATGTGCAAATTGAAGCCTCGAACATAGCATTGTACAAACTAGTATGTTCCTAAGTCCACTATATATATAAGGATCATAAACATTCGTGCGTTAGTACTTTATCCTTAACAAGGTTTCATCTGATCCCTTAGTTACTTAGAGTAAATTTGGAGATACTTTGAAGAAGGCTTTTTTGGACACCGAGAAGTATCACTATTGTATGATTTTCTTCTTGACTTTATGTTGTCAAAAAAATAAAATACAGCATAATGATAATGATAATCTTTAATGCATGTTATAATTATAACTTTTTATTTTCTCTTTCTTACATTGTGGGGAATCGAATCTTGAATATATCTTAATTTCTAACTGAACACCTCACTCTTTCTCACCATTTGGACTAACCTCAAGGTCTTTTCTATACTTCATTTTTCGTTTTATATTTTATCATCTTGTGATAAGGGTCAATTCTGAGATTTTGAGGGACCCCGTGCGAAACTTAAACTGGCCCTCACATAATCTAATATGAAAATAGTATAGATAAATAAAAACCTATTTAATTTGCCATGATTTAATGTCATAAAACAATGTTTTTAGAACTGAAATTCATAATCAATTAACATGCAACGACAATTACAAATTAAATTCAAAAAAGATTTAGTGTTTCAATTTGAGAAAGTTAAATATAGTAGGTTGAGTAGAAAAAAAAAAAAAAAAAAAAGGCTCCTTACACCCCCATAAGCCCTCTTGCTACCTCCAATAACCAATATGTGTATGATAAAACTAATATATATAATATACATGTATAAAAAAAATTTGTGGACCTAAAAATTGGGTGTATTGGCGTCACTTGCACCATTTAAGGCCTAAAAAATTGTGCGTCCTGTGAGTGGCGTCACTTACACCATCCTAGAATTGGCCCTGTTTGTGACAAGGATAATATTTTGAACCGATATGAATTTTTAAAATTTTTAAAATTTTTTAATCAACGATTCATTATCTATATATATAAAGCAAAATGCAGAGAATGGTGAAACATTAAAAATGGTAGAAAATACCGTTGGTTAATGCAAACATTAAGAATTGAAATTATTAATTAAATTATGATAATATGGTAAGTTCACATTTTTTCATATTAAAAAAATTAAATTAAAAGAAAAATCAGATAATGGATTCTATTTTTATGGAACACAACTACCCATTATTTTTTTTAATTCTAAAATAAATTTAATTTAATTTATTTTAAAAAAACCTCTCGCACGCGCTAGTGTTAAATAATGAATTAACATGATTTAAAAAAATTAGGGTTAGGCTTGGGTCTTCTGTTGGACCAACCTCTAGTTTAGGTTGTGACCCCTTCCTCTCTTGAGCCCAAACTTCCCTTAGGGTGTTGGGCCTTGTTCTATAGCATCCTAGTTGGGCCTACCCCACCCCACGACGTCGTTTAGCCACTTCATCTTCAACCTTGGGTTGAAAATTCTTTCTCTGCGTAAAACCCGAAGGCCGAAAACTCACACAATGCTCACACAATGAACACTCACCGCCCTGTGAGGGCTCTATCACATGCGCTGTCACGTGCCCTATCTAACTCCTCCTCATCGTCCGTACAACCTTCATCGACCTTTCCTCTGAAAAACGTAACGAAGTCGAACTTCGAGCCGGCTCTCGCCGAGCTGCGCCGCCATGTCGCCGCCGCCGACTTCGTGGCCATCGATCTCGAGATGACCGGAATCACCAGCGCGCCGTGGCGCGACTCGCTGGAGTTCGACCGAGCCGACGTCTGCTACCTAAAGGTCAAGGACTCGGCCGAGAAGTTTGCTGTGCTTCAGTTCGGCGTTTGCCCCTTTCGATGGGACTCTTCCAAGCATTCCTTCATTGCTCATCCGTACGTGCCATTGTTCTTTTTTTTTCTTTTTTCTTTTTTGTTCGAAGCCATTTATCTTTCTTTTTAGTTGTTAGTTTGTCCTCTGTTTGGCTGCCAAGAAAATGGGGAAGTAAGAAAAGAACAGAAATTTAGGGATAGTACATGAGTTTCTTGTTAATGGCACATTGACTTTTCACTAGTTTGCTGAGAAATTTCTGGGAGAGGACACAATTTTGATTTTGAGTGTTTTTCTCTGGCGTTTGGAGTGAAAAGCTCAATTTTTGAAGTTTTTTTAAAATGCAGGTAAATTTAAATTACAAAAAAAGAAGACAAATTTGAGATTGGTTTGACCGAAATTGCTTACATTCCTGGTTTATACATGTGTTTGTTGTATCAGAACCTTTAGTTGTGTGGATGTTAAGCTTTGTTTTGTGTAGTTTGAAGCAGATGCAAAAGCACATTCATCTGAGATAAAATGATTTTGTGTAACGAAGCTGCCCCATTGTAAATCTTTCATTTAGTTTTTATTGTTTAACAATATGTATACTCTGGCAGGCACAATTTCTATATTTTTCCACGTCAAGAGATTTCAGCCACAAACCCCGCTTATGAGTTCCTATGCCAGACTACATCAATTGATTTCTTAGCTAAATACCAGTTCGATTTCAATATCTGCATACATGAAGGTAGTGCAGTTGTTTTGTTGTTATATGAAGTAGTGATTTAAGAATTTTTATCAGGTGTGGCTCATATTTCATCTAGTTTTTTTTAAAGATGCTCTCAGTTTGTAAAATAGGACTGTTGTACAATATCAGGAATATCTTATTTATCCAAAGGACAGGAAATTGAGGCACTAAGACATTTGAGTTTGGCATATGAGGATGAATTATTGGCTAAATGGTCAAACTTGAAAGAACCTGTGCACATGCCAGTGGTCAAGATGGCTGACACTCTCTTCACTGAACGGATGAAGAACATATTCACTGAATGGCGTGATGGGTTGTTGAGAAATAGTAATGGAGAACTCCAATTTCAGGGAAACTCAAATGACTCCCAACAACAGTTACGAACCATTTTCTTTAAGATGCGTCCTGCTCTTAGTCTGAGTGGATTCACTTCTCATCAGCTTAGGTTGATTCATTTGGTAATTTTTTTGGCATTTTAATCTTCTACTGTTTGATTGTTATTCGTTACAAATAAATCTTGGATATGTGGTCTAGAACATCATTCCTAGACATTCTTGGGTAATTTCCTCAAATGAGTCAAACGTACTCAAAGGAAGTTTTATTCATTTGAGGAAACCTGGTTTCCAATTTTATTGTTTCAATATTTTCTTGTACTTTTTGTGATTATGCTGAGATGGATTCTATGTGGATGTAAATAACATGGTTTCTTCTCAGTCTTGGTTTTATTGAGCTGAATATTAAAATGAAATCATGCAGGTCATCAGAAGGCATTTCCAAGATCTTGCTTATGTTCAGATAAATGGTGAAAATACCTGTCAGCAGCAACTAGTTGTGCGTACAGATTCCAAGGACGACAGGGAGTTACTTATGGTAAGTAATTTGTTTCCTCCAGGTAGATCTGCTGTAAACTTTCCAAAATGTGAAAGATTACTTAGCATGTTTCCTTTGTGAAATAGTTTTCAGAGTTTCAGTTATTAGAATTTCAGTTTTTTTTCTTCTTCTTTTTAAAGAGAGGTCTTGGTGGTTCAAAACAAATGACAATGTTCATTAAAATTACTCTCAAGGGATAGATTTGGCATTTATGTATACATTCTTTTTTCAAAATACTTTTATGGGAGCATGTTTGTGCTGAAAGTGCAATAGGGAGAACAGAAAATATCACGAAGGGACATGTCTGGGCTTGTTATCGTGTGAATTTTAAAATTTTCTGTTGCAAACCTTTTGCAGAAAGAGGTGAAGGATGAGCATTGTAGACAGGCAGAGGTGAAGGTTCAAGCTGCAGTTGGGTTTCGTCACGTTATTGACCTTCTTTCATCAGAACAGAAATTGATTGTTGGTCACAATTGCTTTCTTGGTATAAATATCTGTGCTAGTTTCATAAACAGTTGAATTTGATTTTGTACATTGCTAAGACGTCTTCTTGCTGTCATACAGATATTGCACATATATACAGCAAATTTGTAGGTCCTCTTCCTTCTACTGCTGAAGAGTTTGTCTCTTCTGTTAACAAGTGCTTTCCGTATGTCGTTGACACCAAAATGCTCTTGAATGCTAATAATGTGCTTCAGCAACGGATGAAGAAGTCCCAAACATCACTTTCGTCAGCATTTGCCATGTTATGCCCACAAATTGCTCTTGGGAAGAAAAGCACTGATCTGGCATTCCAATCGTGTGTTAAAGTTGAAGTTCAAGTGGATGATTTGAGGTTTGCTTCTTCCATTATCTGCCCATAATAATAACTTGGAAGTGCCTCATTTATTTGGTGGGTCTCAATAGTTTTTATTGCCACATTTTGAAAGGAAACATAAAAGATAAAGGGTGAAAACTCGAAAGAATAAGGTGAACATTTTGATCTCTTTCATAGCATAACCAGTAAATATTGAGAAAGATAATCAAAATAATGAATAGTCCTGCCTGTTTAATATACAAAGAAAAGGAAAAGCAGAGGAGGCACTTTAGAAATAAGTCAGTCTTATCAAAATTATCTATTTGCAGGTCCTCCAACTGGAATTCTGGAGCCAAACATGAAGCGGGATATGATGCTTTTATGACAGGCTGTGTGTTTGCTCAGACATGCAGTCATCTAGGGATTGATTTTCAGTCGTTTTTGCCATCTGAACATTTGGCCCACAATGAGAAGCTGCAGAAGCACATCAACCTTCTATACCTTAGTTGGAGTAATAGAGACATTATTGATTTAACCAGTGGTAAGAAAAATGCAGTATCTTTGGGGTATACTAACCACAAAAAGAGGTGCCCAGAGATTTTGTTTGAGAACATTGCTTTAATCTGGGGATTCCCATCAAAACTCAAGGCTCGGGACATACGAGAATGCATCTCAAAAGTCTTTGGCCCAACATCTGTCACGTCTATCTACCACTTGGATGAAACTGCAGTATTTGTTCAGTTTAACAAGGAAAAATTTGTCTCTGAATTTCTTATTTTGAAGGAAACTTTAGAGAGAAGTGATGGTCCGGTCTCAGTTTTGCATCCTCTTGCTGGACTTTTGGAAGGTGGAAATACCCAAGCTGCTAATTATGAAACTTACAAAGGCATTTGCAGTTCACCCAGCTCAAAGATCTTGTTTGCGGATCAGGCAGACGCAGTTGGTACTAAATGGAAAAATAAATTGATTGAATCTAAGGCAGCAATGGAGAGCCTAGAACGAGAGATCTTGGGTGAAAAAAATGAAGTGAATCCTGCGTTTGTGTTTTGCTGACTCAATTACTCAAACTAATTTATACAGATTCTATCTATTGAGATTTTTGTATACTGTTAGGAATGTGACGTTAGGAAGAAAACAAATGTAATTATATGTACTAAAATGCCTTTTTCAAAAATAAAAAAAGCCAAGTAATTATATGTATGAGTGATTTGATTTTCATTGCTGTTATTTTTGCATCTCAGCGTGGCATGAAGCCTTTGTATAAAAGCTTCTTTAGGGTTTTTATCAGAAGCTGTACACAAGGTTTAATGTTCAACGTTTTTAACCCTTGAAAGAAATTACAAAACAATTTTACAATGCTTTTAATTTCTTTATTTTTTGTTTATTTATCATGTTCAAACAAGTAACTGTAAATTCAAAGAAAATGAAATGATAATAACTCAAACATGAATGCAGAATTTTTTTCATCACAGTCATCAAGCCAAGCCACTAGCCATATACCAAATCACCAACCTAACCACCCTGCATGTCCTCCACGTGTCATCATTCAACGGTCAAGATATTCTCCACAGCCACGAAAACCATGCTCCTCTCTTGCATTTCGTCCACAAAAAATGCCCCCCTCTTGAATCACGCGTGATTATTGCATTGTATTGGTAAGGTGAATCAGATAATCAAATTGGATCCACCTGACCTAAATAGCCGGTCAATATCCTCCTCACCATTTTTGGTTTACAGAGGTTGCTTACACGGTTCTTAATTAAATAAACGTCATTTTCTGCTGCTTAATTAAATACACGTTTTGAATAATTCTTGGTGACATTAATAATAACTGTGAGTCTGTGATAGTTAAGGGTTTTAATCGGGTTTTAATCCAAATTTGTAGAAAGAAACTGCTAAAATTACAACAGAGGCATATATAAATGCGTTCAAAGGACCATTTTAACCTCACTAGCCGGTCAAAGTTCACAAGTCACCGGTTGCAGCAAGTGGCAAAGGGTCCCTACAAGAGGAGGAAAAGGTCCCTTTAAGAGGAGGTAAAGGTCCCTATAAGGGGAGGTATCCATCAGTAACTGTTCCATTGTGGTAGAGTTTTTAGTTTATACGTATCTCTCACTCTCACAGAGACTCAAAGTAGTCTTTGCAGATGAGTTTTTAGCTTATACGTATTTGTTCTGCTTCATTAGTCCTTGTTTCTCAACAGTTATTTTTTGGTGGTTTTACTAATTTGTCATGGAAAGGAGAAGAAAGAAAGTGGTGGTTTTCTTTGAGCCTGCTCTTAACTTTCTTGTTTTTCATCTCTATATATATATATACATATGCAACTCTGTTTTGATAAAACTTTCATATTGGTGAGGGATATGTTGATAAAAAAGAACATCAAGATCATATATGTAATACTTTTGGGGTCAAAAGGCAAGTTTATATGATTGATTTTTGTATGCATTATCCAAATTCATGGTTTTTCCACTGGCAGGGATGAAGGCATGCCTTGTGGCATTGAGGGTGGATGGATGTGAATGTGAATGAGCTGAGAGATCATGTTGACAGAAGAGAGAGAGCACAACCCGCCATTGGCCAAAGAGATCTTTGCCACTGTTGGGAGTGTGCTTTCTCTTCTTCTGTCATCATCTCTTGCATTCCCACATCTCTGATGTTACCAGCACCGTCTGATCTGCATCTATATATCTAACACATATGTAAGGTCTTCTTATCAACATGATATGTGTTAATTTGAATGCAAACTAAAACTTTCTTTCTTGTTGTGGATCTGTAAAAATAATTCTATGCAGATGATTATGTGTAAGTTTTCCTTTAAAGGTAAACAGAAGAAAGAGGTAGCAGTTGTCACCAATTGAAGCAAGGATGTGTCAATTTTGTACAAATTAATACTTTTCAAGATGCATGAGCAGAAGTTGGTGATCTCTTATTAACTTTCTGTCAAGTAGAAAATTGCACCTTACAAGAACATATCATTTTACCGCAGAATAAGAGAGAGAGAAAGAGAGAGAGAGAGAGAGAGAGAGAGAGAGAGAGAGAGCCTTGGTCCTGTTTCTCCTTGCAGATAACCAACCGCAAGGAAGCTAAGGGGGTAGGTGGCCACTACTCATCTTCCACTTCCTCTCCTCATCCCCTTTCTTTTTCTTCCATCTTTTCCCTTCCTCTTCCCTCCTCCTCCCCTTCCCATTCCCAGATAGTCTAGATTTATTTGGATCTAGGTTTGTTTGTCTGTTTGTTTTATTTGGTTGTTTTTGCAGTGTTCTAGGTGACTGGTGTTGTCTTTGTCTCGGCAGTGGCAATAGTAGTGATGCTGGATTGTGTCTCTCCTCGGGAGAGTTGTGATACCTGGTGGCTGATGTTTTGTCTCTATTTCAACGACGGCAGCAGCAACGACGCTGGTGATAGTTGTTATGATATGGTGCTTTTCTCTACTTTGCACCGATGGAAGAACTATGCTTGGTCATAGGAGGTTTTCTTTGTCAAGTTCTAAGTTGAAGTGGAGTGCTTCTCGAGGGTCCTTTAATGTTGTTTTAGTGTTCCTCCTCCGTGTTCTCTCCTGGTTTCTGTTATTGTATGCCTTGCAGTTTGTGTGGGTGTCAAAAGACTACGATTTTGCTCATAGAAGGTTTTTTTTGACAGTTGGAATGTTCTGTGGTTCTCTCCTGTGGGTTTAGTATTGGGATTTCTATGGTCCTCTCATGTGGGTCTACTGTGTTAGTCTCTAGTTGCGGTTTTGTGTTAGTTTTCTTTTTTGATTTGTTCTTTTATTGTAATGGTTCAGAGTGACTTGAATTGAACTCTCTTGTTAGTCAATGACATGTGTGATGCTCTTTCCTCTCTTGAGGTTTGTCCCATGAAGTTGTCCTAGGAAGGTTTTAACGAGGTCATTGTATCATGTCGCTCTTTGTACGTCTTTTGTTATAAGGTTTTTTAAGTTTTACACATAAAAAAATTTTCACTTTTGGAAAAAGCCAAAGCTTTTTCAAAAAAGACAAAAAAACTACTCAACTTTCAAATCAAAGACATGCAAATGTATTGGATTCCTTAGGAAATCTAAAAATAAATAAGGGCATTTTTGTCCATTTTTGCTTCTTTTAAAATTTTTTTCTCTCCTTTTGCTTTTTCCAAAATGTCCCTTTGTTATATGAATGAATTCTCTTTCTTAAAATTTAAAAAAAAAAAAAAGAAAGAAAAAAAAAAAGACATGTCATTTTGCTCTTTGGTGTTAAACCATGTCTTTGTAAAATATTTCCAAAGTACTTCAAAAGGTATATATCCCTTCTCACTGTGCATGTATAGAAAAAGGAATGAAAGAAAGCAAGCCCTTTCTTCTAAATTTTTTGAATTATTTTTCAGCTCTTGCTCAAATAAGGTCAGTTTACATTTTTTCATAGTGAAGCACAGTCCATCAATTGGCTATGCATTTTGCTAATAATCTTTTGTTTCTACTAGTACGTAGTACAGATATTGTCATCCATTTTGTGCACCAACATTGAAATGTTCCACAGAAAACCTCTGTTTATGTTGTAAACTGTGACTGCCTTGAAATCGGCACATATTTTCCTTTTGGTTTTCATGACCTACAGTGCGTAGAAGAATGATACAAGAATTATCTGCTGGATTGTGAAGGAGGACTTAAAAGTGACATACTCCTGGCTTATCCTCTATGTGAAGGGAACATGAAAAGCCTGTAAAGTTTTGCAAGGAAAGATCAGAGCACCAGCAGAAACCAGGATCGGAGATGGAGATCACAAAAAAGGCTAATTATGATAATTCAGTGAAATAAGGTGGAGCTCCATGCTTGGTGGCACAATTCAATTCCATGGGAGAAGTATAATATTGCAGAGTTTTGATTCAACATTGCTACTACAAACCCTGCTACCTAGAGTTTGGCAATATGGAGGAACCAATATCTCTTTAGTGTGTTCTGCTTTGGTTTGAATTAGGATTCTGTCAGTTTCTAATTATTGTGCTGATTTAGACTAGAATTCTCATAAGAACTCATCCAAACTTTTTACTTCTATGCTTCTGTGCCAGTTCGAATTTACTTTATAACAGGGATTGATAGGAGTTAAAGGGGTTAGAATTTGTTTCCCCTTTTCTTGAAAGTCGCTTTACACAGATTCTTAGGCCATTATCCGAAAGTTCTACCTAAAACGAGGGGAAGAAAGCAATGTAATCCAAAGATTTTCAGGGTTTCTCAGGTAGTCTTATCCAAATAATTATTGCAACTGATGCCAGTGTCAAACCAAAGTGAAGAGATGTACCCCCAGAGCTATAAGCAAGTCACAGAACACACTACCCAAAAAAACAGAAAATCATAAAACTAATAAGATTGAATAGTATAGAAATCATTTCTGTGTACATTCAACTCTTAAACCAGTTACATATCTTTCATTGTCACTACAAAGAAAATCGGTTACAAGAGATGTTACTTGAACGAGTCATTACAATTGAAATATTCAAGCAAGCTTCTTTTGTCCTGATAAAGCAGAGACCACACAGTTCAATAGATAGCTTTGAACTCAGGCCAGTGAACTCTACAGTCTCTAATCTTCAAATTACAGGATTAAAAAAGCAGTGGTAAAAAGTAAAGAACAAAAGAATTCATCTATCTATAAACTATGCAATCTGCATATATTGCCTAATAAACCATGAAACCTATTTCAGTTAATAATGATCTCACACATAGAGCTGGTGGGGCTGCTGCATTCTTCACAATCTGAAACAATGTCATCAATAGACAAAGGCAATCCACTAGAAAAACTGAGACTTGGTTTCACCCTTGGCACGCCTAGAAGTTCTGCCTCGTTACTCAGGATTTGTAAAACTCTCCTCATTGTAGGCCTCTCTGCACTATCTGGATTAGCACAACTTAAACCCACAAGTAACAGCTTCCTCATTTCTTCCACTTTAAACTCCCCATTCAACCTCTTGTCAGCTGCTTCGATAATCCTTCCTTCTGAGTGCAGTCCCCAAACCCAATCCACCAAATTCACCATTTTGAGACTGCCTGGTTCTCTCTCTATTGGTCTCCTCCCACAAGCCACTTCAAGGATGACCACACCATAGCTAAAAACATCAGTCTTCTCAGTTGCCTTCCCATACTGAAGATACTCAGGCGCAAGGTATCCCATTGTTCCAGCCGTTAGTGTAGAAACGGGGCTCTTATCATGATCCATGAGTTTTGCCAGTCCGAAATCGCCAAGCCTCGCATTAAAATTCCCATCGAGCAACACATTTCCAGTCTTTATGTCTCTGTGAATGACTTGCTGTTCACATTCTTGATGCAGATATGTTAAAACAGATGCCAAACCAACTGCAACATTTAGTCTATGGTGCCAATCCAATAAGGTACCTTGTCCAGATTCTTGGTAAAGCACCTTTTCAAGGCTCCCATTAGGCATGAAATCATAAACAAGAAGCAATTCACCCTTCTCAACACACCAACCTTGGAGTTGAACCAAATTCTTATGCCTCAAACCAGCAATAATAGACAACTCAGAAAGGAACTCAGTTTTACCTTCATGGGAATGCTTGGATCTTTTCACTGCAGAAATAGTCCCCGAAGAGACAAAAAAGGCTTTGTACACAGTTCCAAATGCTCCATGACCAATAATCCTACTAGAATGAAACCCTCCTGTGGCTGACTTGAGCTCTTTGTAACCAAACTCTCTTGGCCCTGCTATAACCTCTGCTTTGAAGCTTTTCTGTCTTCTCATGTTCTTCCATTTGCTCACAGAAACATAACCAAACACCGCCAGAGCGACACAAAAGAAGGCCGGCCCGGCAATCCCAAGGCCTAAACCAAGCCTCTTGTGGTGTTTATTGGTGGAACCAGATACCGGAATCCTCGGATTCACCACCACATAAGTATCAGACACATTGTGAGGCTGCAATCTTGGTCTTGTAGGAACAAACCCAAATGTATGAAAGCTCCAATTCTCAATCAGATGAACCTCAGTACTCCCCTCAGTCGAAGCCGAAAAACCCACATACATAACCTCCTTTAGATAATCAGAGAGGTCAATATCCACACTCAAAGCCGGTTTTCCGGGCTTGAAACTCGAATAACTCAAATACACTTTGAGCCTTTCTTGGTCATTCTTGTAATCAACCCAAGCTGTAATAGAATTCCCACTTTTGAATTCAACATCTTGCAAGATTGGATCTGCGGTCTTTATTGAAGTGAGGCTCTCAATGTCCAAACCAACATGGTTATCGTTGGGGTCGTTGAAATGCAAATCGAGCCTGGTATCAAATTCAACGGCCACGAACTTGTTCTTGGTTAATTGGGAGGAATTAACAAGACCCAGATAACCTCCTGGGCTGCCAAGTATCCTGTTACTAGGTGAGAGGAAAAACGACATGCCGTCTCCATACGAGCTCGGATTGACATTGGTGATGGAGAAAGAAAACCTTGTGGAGAAGGAAGCTGTGATATTGGCTTCAGGGTCGAAGAACTTAATTGGGTTGTTGTAGATTACAGTTCCGGCGCTTGAGGACGGCACGGTGAGCTCACGAGTGAGGCCTACCACGCCGTTTCGGATGTGGGAATCGCCGAGGAAGGTGAGGTTTCGGAAATTGAAAGAGGGGAAATCAAAGTTCACGTTTTCTGCGGAGGCAAAAGGTGGGTCTGTGACGAAGAAGAAGAGGCTCATGAAGACGAACCATAAAACAAGAAGCTTTCTTGGAGCCATGGCTGTGGAGAATTCGATTAGTGTTGAGTGAAAAGAAGTGGGCTTTTCTTTTTCTTTGCAAAAGCAGAGAGCTTGAAGTTTGTGAGGGAGAACATGGAGTTCTTGGAGGTTCAGAGAGAGAGAGAGAGAGAGAGAGAGAGAGAGTGTGTTTTAAACGGTTCGGGAATGGGCGCGTGGGTCGGTTTGAAAGGAATATTAGACTGAGAGGGCTTTGCAACGGTTATGAGGGACTTTGGTAGTGCGGAATGGAAGTCCTGAAAACGACACCGTATTAGGAGAGCCTGAAGTGGGGAGCAACAATAGCACAGAATTTCATATTCCTTATCGAAAAGAAGTAAATTTTATTAACCAGAAGCAGTTAGGGAACATTTGTCGAACTTTATCATAGTTCATTTGTTTGTTTGTCAAACAATTTATAGTTCGGGTTTGACGGGAATAATTTTCAACCATTGATGAGCAGTGTTAGGTTTTTAGTGAGTCCTATTCGATCAACATTTGTTAATTCTCAATACGAAGTAAATTACTTGGCATTGATCAATTTGCAAGAGAACGTACTTAAATCAAGAAATATGACATGTTACGTTGTTATACTACCAAGTGATGAAGTATACTGTATGGTATTAAATTCTTAACATGTCATATATTTAACAAGAAAGCCTTGCTTTTTTTTTTTTCTTTTTTTTTTTTTTTTTTTTCAGTTTTGTAATTTGGATAGTTGTGTATTATTAGAGTAGTAAGATTTAGTTTTGGAGATTTCAATGCTGACAAGAGAAGGCTGGAGATTTCAACAATGACATGTGATCATCGAGTCAAAGATCCAAAATTCCATACCCACCAAGCTCAAATGGGACAACACACGTCATGTAGCCGTTATACACAAAACCGCATTAGTTTTTGTCTAATTCATAGATTATAGAGTATTATCGGAGGATACGATCATTTAATAACAACGGTGGCTGCAGAGAGATATGCTTGTTCATGCTGTAAGCTTTGTTCTAATTAAAATTTTAAATTAATTAAGCTTTGTTACATCGAAATGCTTACTATCAGTATATTATTGATAGCAAAGAATGTATAAATAAATACAAGATACAAATGTTTTACTCCATCTCGAACGATGGAGAAAATGTTTGTCAGCCAAAACTTTAAAGAGTAAGTGAAAATTTTATAATTAATATTGTTGACGCTCAAAAATAGTTCGGTAGTTCTTGAGGCCAACTTAGTGATGTTGGGCTTTCGGTATGCTTCTGGGCCTCGGTAGAGCACGTGATCTGTAAAATAACACACGCTCGGTAAGACCTTTAGGCACCGATGTGGTACCGGCCGAAGGCTCTCCGATGCTTAAATAAGTACGAATTTGGTAAGATTAAACTGACAGATCAATAGGCAGTATGCCGTAAGTTCCGATTACCTCCATTTTGGGGAATTGTGCTCCTTTTATAAGCCTTGGGAGGTGTGCTAGTTGAGTAGATTTTCGATGTGGGATTATGGACATCGATTGTGAGCCTACCATGTGTCCTGAAGAAGGAGGTTGCCCTAACCGATGAATCGGTAGGCTGGGTGCCGAAGGTTTCCATTGTCAGGTTCAATCTTGTCCACGTGTCTAGTTCTCATTGGCTGTTCATTTTGGTGTAAACAAATATATATGAGCATCCAATCCAGTCTCTCCTTCTTGCCTAGAGTCGTGAGAGTTTTCAGAGTGTGAGAAAGAGTCCAAGATTACTCTTTTGGTAGTGTAGTTGAGTGCATGTCACTGTGGGAGGCTTTATTCTCTTGGCTAGGTAAGATTCTTGATTGATTCTTTGCTGCCATGGATGCGTTTGTGGACAAACTTACCACTCAACTCAATCTCACTGAGGATGAAAATAGGTCTATAGTATTTGAGCGACGTCTTATTGGAAACAATAGGCAAGCTCAATGTCTCTTTTTAGTTGGGAGGCTTCTCAGCCTGAAGAATTTTAAGGCACAATTCTTTATGAGGACCATGAAGAAGCTTTGGTCACCAAGAGCCTGTGTAGAGATCTGCCAGTTGGAGCATGGGCGGTTTTTGTTCTCCTTTCTGTCAGAAAATGATAGAAATTGTGTGCTCAAAGGTAGTCCTTGGAATTTTGAGAATGCTTTTCTGATCCTGGGAGAAACTTATGGTTTTGAAGACCCCCATCAAGTTCCTCTCACTACACAACCTTTGTGGATTAGAGTTAAGGGTGTCCCTCTAGCATATATGGAGAGGAGTACTAGGCAACTCATTGGGGATATTTTGGGGAGGTTTATTGAGATTGATTCTGGAAGATGAGGTACTTGCCTGGGAAGTTTTCTCATAATAAAGGTTATTATTGATGTTACTCAACCCCTGAAATGATGTTTGCGTTTTACTTTCCCAAAGGTTGGGAGTCGCCTCCTTTTGATTAAAGGGGTTGTATTCAATTGAGATTTTAATAGATTTTTGTGGGGTCTTTTTGTTCCAGCACGAATGGACTTGGGCTGCCGTAAGAAAAAAACGAACAGAAATTCCCAAAGTATCTGAGTTCAGAAACCAAGCTCCTAAAAGAGGTTTTGAAAGGTTTGATGAAACCTTAGAAAAAAACCATCAGGTTCTTTTCACCAATAGTCAAATAAACATGATAGATTGATTAATGACTTAGCATGAGGAGCTTGTGGTATGAGAGTAAAACAATCATGAGTTTAGCATAAACAGAGAGAGAGAGAGAGAGAGAAGCGTGAGTTTCTTACAAAGAACAAAGGGTTAAAATGGAAAAGAGGAAGATTAGGGAGATTTCTTTCTTAGAGAAAGGAGAAACCAAACGAGGAAGAAGATTGGGTGGCTTGTGTAAATTCCCAGTCACTTGACAAAGCTTGGTCAGGCTCTGGATTGTTGATTTTGCTGGGTAGAAGAAGGTCCCTTTTATAGGAACAAAGAACCCCTAATTTTGTCTAACCTCCGTCTTCCTTTTTCTTTGCTTCTTTCCACTCAACCCTATTCGGTGAAATTTTCCTATCCAAGGCGCATGAGCGGTTTTTGTTCTTGTTTCTGTCAGAAAATGATAGAAATTGTGTGCTCAAAGGTAGTCCTTGGAATTTTGAGAATGCTCTTCTGATCCTGGGAGAAACTTATGGTTTTGAAGACCCCCATCAAGTTCCTCTCACTACACAACCTTTGTAAATTAGAGTTAAGGGTGTCCCTCTAGCATATATGGAGAGGAGTATTGGGCAACTCATTAGGGATATTTTGGGGAGGTTTATTGAGATTGATTCTGGAAGAGAAGGTACTTGCCTGGGAAGTTTTCTCATAATAAAGGTTATTATTGATGTTACTAAACCCCTGAAATGATGTTTGCGTTTTACTTTCCCAAAGGTTGGGAGTTGCCTCCTTTTGATTAAAGGAGTTGTATTCAATTGAGATTTTAATAGATTTTAATTACACGATTTTAATACGAAAAGCTTCCAAACTATTGTTATAAGTGTGGCCTTTGTGATCATGTCTTGAATCAGTGCTCACTTCGGGATTCTATTGTTAACCATGGGGATTTCAAACCCTTCAAAGCAGAGGTCAAAGAATGGTTAGATGAACATGAGATGGAACCACCAAGATCACTACGGTCGATATGGGTGATGAAAGCTCCAAGCTCATACGAATTGGGCCTTGCCAGCGAAGTTCAGCGTCGAGAACAGGATGAAGACGAAGGGGATCAGTTACGACAGGGCACCATTAATGAGAATAATGGCTCCATTATGGCTGACCATCAAAAGAGGAGTAAATTAGGATCAATGAGGCCATTCAAGGAAATTTAAATTAGGAGCAGTTCTTGGGGACTGATTCATTGGCAATTAACTCGCCAATGAATGTTGAGAAAGGAAAGAATATAATTGATAATGGTGGTGTTTTCTCTCCCTCAATTATTCGAGTTAAAAGCTGTCATAATTCTAATATTATGGGCATCAACCCATTCTCTCTTCCAAAAGCGAGCCTGGAAGGGAAGCAAATTGGCGGGGCAACTCAAACTGTTAACGCAAATCAAAGTGGGCGTCAACATCTATCGTGGAAGGCTAAGCCTTGAGCAACCCAACTGGTATCTAAGGCCCAAAAGGGTGATGAGAACCCGCATCAATCAGAGCTGAACACTGTTCAATTGGAGATTGACACAAAGACAGGGTTAGCAAGGCTACCCCGTCAATTTCAACGAGACAAATGGAATGGAATGTGCTGGGGCTTGGGAACCCCTACATATTCCATGCTCTAAGACAATTCCTTAGAGCTCAAGACCCCATTTTTGTGTAAAGATTCTAGCAAACCTCTTGATGATCATTTTGCTTGAGATGATTTCTAGTGTTCAAAACGCCTTTGTTCCTGTGCGGTCCATTCCTGATAATCTCTTGCTTTTGAGCCCATGCATTCAGTCAACAAACAATGACGAAAAAAGGAGCCAAAGGTTGTGGTGATGCTTGATGTCAGTATGGCATATGATCAAATTGAATTTTCTTATTGTCTTTGTTCCCAGTTTGTGTCTTATTGGAGAGCCATGCTAAGTTTGCTTTTGGTAGTGTGTCTTCAGACGCTTGGCTTGAAGAGGTCTTCCAAGGACAATGTGTCTTTGCTAGTTGACTTTATTTTGGTTTTGTTTGTAGTCTTTATGGAGCATGTGACACTCTTTTTCCTTCGTCTTAGATTTTCTCCACTGGGTTTTCTGAAGCAAGGTTTTGATGAGGCCACGTTTGTTCACTCAAGTCTGTAACCTTTACAATTGAATGAAACCTAACTATCTTTTTAAAAAAAAATTATTATAATTTTGTATCATTTAATTAGGAGTGTTCTTAGAAATTGAGCGTTTAGAGGTAAATATATTGGTTGTGCATCCACAAAAATTTCCAAATAATAAGTTGGTGTGAAATATGGGTTAAATACTAAGGCCGACAACAACAACCCGGCCCAAGCCCACGAGCCACACCCGAGCCGAAACCAATAAGTTAACTATACGAGTCCTCACAGATTCTCCGTCTTCCACTGCTCTTTTTTTCTCCGTCTTCTTCACCCAACCCCTCCCTGTTTTCAGTGTGGTCCAAGCTAAGCTCTAGGGTTTTTCCTTTCTTGAATTGCATCCCTAAAACCCTGCCCTCCTATTTCCACACAAGTGTCTCTGCACCCAAACAACTCTCTCCGTTCTCATTTCTCAGACCAAATACAATGCCGCCGAATGACGAGGTTCGGTTCACTTCGTCGCCTTCTGTCAAAGTCCCTCGGCCCCTGAAAAATCGGCAATTGGACCTTCCCCTTCTGTTCGCTAGAACCAGAAACTCGTTTGCTCAACTCATCGATTCGCTCAAGACTCGTTCAGCTTTCGCACAATTTCCACCATTAAAATGGCCCCCCTTTCTGTCCACCGAGTTGAATCAGTGCACTGCAGTAACTCAAAACTGTCGCTCGCACTCTCTGCCTATTCTTTGCTCCGCGTCGTTGTCCCTGACTCGGTCCGCTGATTCGGCAGAGTCCGAATCACGAAATCGGAATGCAGACCGCAGTCAGTTTGTAGGGAAGTCGCCGCTTTTATGTTCAGCGTCGTTGTCTTTGACTCGGCCGGACGAGTCGACTCAGTCGCAGAAGGGCCACTCATCAAGTCGGCACGACGAGGAGAGGGTTCTGATAAGCGAGGTACTGGTGAGGAACAAGGACGGTGAAGAGCTGGAGAGGAAGGACCTGGAAGCGGAGGCCTTGGCGGCTCTCAAGGCTTGCCGACCCAACTCGGCGCTCACTGTGCGCGAGGTCCAAGAGGACGTGCAGAGAATCTTCGATAGTGGATACTTCTGCTCTTGCATGCCAGTCGCTGTAGATACGAGAGACGGTATCCGATTGATCTTTCAGGTACAAGCATATGCATTGTTGTCGAATTCAATTGCGTTCTGTGCTTTTTTCTGTTTATAATCCTAATAAATGTAGGAGAAGAGCTTAAAGAAATTGAAACTAATGCTTGTCGTGAACCAAAAGCATTTAGTGTTTATTATTTGTATTATTTTTGTATTCATTTGTCATTTTCAATTTCATTTATGTCCTTATGACCTCATGCAAATTATCAAGGCGCTTGTTTATCTGTGTGTTGAGTTCATCACTTTTATGCATTTATTTTATTGATTTTTGTCCATGATCATTTTTAACTCTTATCATTGTCTTTACATTAGATAGAGAGATTTGGCCTAAAAATAAATAAATTTGAAATAGAGAGCGAGCAATCATGGTTTTGTGTTATGGTTTCATCGGTGATGCAAACTCATGTCATGAACATGTGTGAGAACATGTTTCCTATTTGATTTGGCTTGGAACTAAAAGAGTTTAATAATCTTTTAATGGTGTTAGGTAAAACCAAACCAGGAATTTCAAGGGCTAGTATGTGAAGGGGCAAATGTTCTTCCAGCGAAGTTTATAAAGGATGCATTCTGTGACGGATATGGTAGGTTTTTCTTCAACGTTCTTACATATTTAGGGTTGTTCATGCATGCTCTTTGCATGAAAGATCATTTGCTTTTTTCTGGTGTGCCACTTAAGTGTGATCAAAGAGTCCTATATTGATTTTCGATTTTGGTGTCAAGTTGTGCAGGAAAAGTTATTAATCTTAAGCGTTTGAATGAAGTTATTTCTTCCATCAATGATTGGTACATGGATCGGGGCCTTTTTGCAATGGTTGGTTTCTTCTCTATAAGTTTTTCAGAATTATTTTGAATTTCGGCATGTACAAAGATGAACTTAATATTTCTAGTGCTGTAGAATGTAGAACTGGTTCAGTGAAGACTTCAGTGTGCTTTATTTTTTATCAAGATTTTTCATAATAGTAGACAGCTCTTTTCTTGATTACATTATAGGTTTCAGCTGTTGAGAGTCTCTCGGGGGGTGTTCTTAAGTTACAAGTATCAGAAGCGGAGGTCAATAATATCTCCATAAGGTTCCTTGACAGGAAGACGTAAGTTCCTGGTTTAATCGAGTTCGCATTTACAGATGTTGCATGCATGGATAATGTTCAAATTTTCTTGAAAAAGTGGTATGAAATGATATCTTTGCTAATTCTTCTGTACTCTTCTTAGTGGGGAACCAACTGTAGGGAAGACAAAGCCCGAAACAATACTTCGCCAACTTACTACAAAGAAGGGTCAGGTACTTTCCTGGACGTATCTTCTCTATATAATAATGATCTTAGTGGGTTTTTGGGAACATTGTGCTTTTATTTTGCCATCAAGTATTTATGCTTATATGGTTCTTCCTTAAAGAAATGCACTAAATTTAGTGGTGACATGTCAACTTTTAAGGGTTGCTACTTGGGATGATACCTATGTAGGTCTACAGTATGCTTCAAGGAAAAAGAGACGTGGAGACTGTATTGACTATGGGACTTATGGAAGATGTTAGCATTATACCCCAGCCAGCAGGTGGTAAAGAATATTTTTTGCAAATATTTTTGTTGGAAAACATATTTTCCATCTTGTTAGTGTTCAATGATTATTATTATTTTGTTTATCTTTAATAATTTATACATGTTTGTGTGGAGTTCATGCATGTGATTGAATGCGTTGCTTGCTAAAACTACTGCAAAATTGTAGATGCTGGTAAGGTTGATATCACCATGAATGTTGTTGAGCGACCGAGTGGAGGTTTTTCTGCTGGTGGTGGTATATCAAGTGGGTAAGTCAAATGAGTGGAACATACAAATTGACTTTTTTTGTGGTCAATATATGAGTTTATGTTTTAGATTTTGTGGTATAAAATGTTAACTTCTGTTGTTTAATTTCAGAATTACAAGCGGCCCTCTTTCAGGACTCATTGGAAGGTAATCTACTGCACATAAAAAGTTATGTATTGAAAATTCTTCTATTATTAATATTTTATGAAGTGACAGACCATCTGGATTCTGTAAGCATTATGTATTTCTACATATACATACAAATATACATGTGTCTATGTTCAAATAGTGTTAGTGTTCACTCTCAGCATGTCATCTAGTGTTGCACTAGATTCTTATGATTTCATTATTACACTTTTGACATAAAAAAATTTCTTGCCTTTGCAGCTTTGCATATTCTCATAGGAATCTCTTTGGAAGAAACCAAAAGCTCCATGTTTCTCTGGAGAGGGGCCAGATAGACTCAATATTTCGTATAAACTACTCAGATCCATGGATTGCAGGAGATGATATGCGGACGTCCAGGACTATAATGGTTCAGGTACTTTAATGTTGTATTGTATAAAGTACTATTGTTTTACCATTCACCACTTGAAAATTCTTGATGGCGAGATGCTTGACTAATTCTTTTCTGTTAGAATTCAAGAACCCCTGGAACACTCATCCATGGTAACCAACAAGATGGTAGCAACTTGACCATTGGTCGCATCACAGCTGGTATTGAATTCAGCCGACCCATAAGGCCAAAGTTGAGTGGAACAGCCGGGCTTATCTTTCAGGTACTTGTGCTTTTTTGTGTGTGTGTGTGTGTGTGTGTGTGTTTCTTGGATGAGTTTTAACATTCAGTGGTGGTTTTGAACTTGGAAGGTTTGTTATGAGATTTATGTTGACTTGGTTGTATTTTATTTGTAACATTAACTATCCATATTCTGGACTATTTGGCCAGCATGCTGGTGCTCGTGATGAGAGAGGAAATCCTATTATCAAGGATTTCTTCAGCAGTCCCCTAACTGCAAGGTACACGAGTCTGAAATCAAATAAAAACCAAACTACTTTAGTTTAGTTTCCATATCTTAGTTTAAGTTTTGCTGTGATCCATGATTCTAATCTTCTGCTCTTTGTTTGCCATTTTTGTTTTTTAGTGGCAATAACCATGACGATATGCTACTTGCTAAACTTGAGAGTGTCTACACAGGTTCTGGTGACCATGGGTCTTCAATGGTTAGTCAATGACAGTGTGTTCACAAATTATGACTCACTTTTTTTTTTCTTTCTGAACTTCCACTGTACTTTGATACTCATTTATGGCCCTCTGCAGCTGGTATTCAACATGGAACAAGGACTTCCTGTTTTGCCTGAATGGTTGGTTTTCAACAGAATAAATGCTCGTGCCAGGAAAGACCTAGAACTTGGCCCTGCTCGCTTTCTTTTAAGGTATGGCCGTTTTGTATTTGTCAAGAGTAGGAGCAGTCGAATATTATAAAACATTATGAGTTTTATAGTTTCACCCAAAATTTTACCCAACTTGCTATTGTAATTTATTTCTTTTGAAATTAAGCAAATGATGCTTTAATTTGGTTTTGACTTTGTTATGCTTTGCACTGTTAGTTTGTCTGGTGGCCATGTGGTTGGTAACTTCCCACCACATGAAGCATTTGCCATCGGTGGAACAAATAGTGTAAGAGGTTACGAAGAAGGTGCTGTGGGCTCAGGTAGATCTTATACAGTTGGCTCTGGAGAAATTTCTTTTCCCGTGGTATGTGGTGAAAATGGGCTCTCTTTTCTTTTTCATTTCTGGGTTTTTACAAGCATCTGTGCTGGGCATATCATGTTTGATTGTTATTGTGGGAAACTGTCTTCTCTGTATGCTTGAAGAAAACATTGATTCCTTGATCCATCATCATGTCATGTCCTGTTGTTGCAGATAGGGCCAGTTGGAGGAGTTATTTTTGCTGACTATGGCACGGATCTTGGATCAGGCCCCACTGTTCCTGGTAGTTTTCCCTTAGTTTAATTTACTATTCACTCTTGAATCCTTGAAACCATGAAGAACCATCTTGTCCTGAGATTATCTATGCATAAATGTAAACTTTTCTCGCATTAGCTTTGCCTTTGGCTTACAGGCAATGTTCTTAAAGGTGGTTATGTTTTGTTTTTGATCAGGTGATCCTGCGGGTGCTAGGCTGAAGCCTGGAAGCGGGTACGGTTACGGGTTTGGCATCAGATTGGACTCACCATTGGGGCCTCTTCGTCTCGAATATGCATTTAACGATAAGCATACAAAGAGATTTCACTTCGGGGTTGGACACCGGAACTAGGGCCCGTGTTACTTTGCCCGGCTGTCTGTTAATTCATTTATTATTCTTTTTCCTTGATATTGTACATGCTTTTCTTCATAATGGTCTTGTTTCTTTGGGCTGCTTTGCCTTCATCTTATCCACTGTCAAATGGGGATATTGTTTCGCTTTCACCCCCATTTTACTTCCTTGCTCATGATCTGGGTCAGGCTTAATACTCACGACCCAGTTCTAATGAAATTATTTTCATTACCACTATTTAATCCGTTTTATTTTTACTACAAAATAATACCCATACATTGTAATAATCAAAAAGGAAAGATTTAAAAGAGAGAAGATAAGAAAAAGTAAGGCTGGCCCTAAGTTTTCCGGATTGGGCTTGACATGAGCCAACCTTCTTCACTTCGGTTTGGCCCAAGTCCAATTTCTTAATTGCGTTAACCTGAGCCCTAATTTGATTATTCATTTTTTAATAGGGCCATCCTACATTGCCAGGTAGAAAGTTGAAAAATGGCTCGTCTTCGTATTTTTGGGCAAATATAATATACTTATACTTAGCAGAAAAGGCGTTTGCTTTTCATAAAATACAAAAGCTCATTCATACCTGCTGTTCTTCTCGCTCCAATTGCAAAGAATGCCCAATCATCCAGATTGTCCCCACGTTTTATTCGTTAAAAAGTAAAGGAAATTAAAAAAAGTTATCCACGTGTTAATGCTCACAGATGACAGATATCAATCAATTTCCTCAACCCACATTATTAGGATTGATTTCTTCTGTATAATTTTGTTAGCAACAATAGTTCACGCACTACATAGGTGATTTTCAATCATTGATATTAACAGATTACCGTCACTCACGTGCGCACATGGTCGACAATTGATAGCATTAGCATCACTCTTCTCTATTATTGAGAGGGTCCCATGCACTGAACTGTGACTTTGAATGTGATATTCATTCACACACTAAGTCTCTATAATATTATTGTACGCGAAATGTATATGGGACTAGAAAGTACTGGCAATTTGGTACCGAATTGGAGTGATGAGGGTAGCCAATGCCATGCTGCTCAGAGTTTGCAGCAAACTTTGTTTTCCTGAATTTATGTTCTTTTGTTCTTTGTCCCAATAACATTTCGCAAGTGTGTCTTCTTCCCAAAACCGATCTAATAGCGTAATTGCCACGAAAATGGAAAAAGGTTTTTTCTTCCCTTATCTTCTTTTCCTCTAGCAAAATATACTTGAAGCGCATCAATACATTTTCGAACCACCTTCAATTTGTACATTTCTACTTTGAATACCAGATCATGAGAGGTTGAACATTCTACGAGAACAATTGTAAATTTACGAATAGGGATGTGACAAGAATCTTAAGCTGCCCTTTTGATTTTGTAATTTATATATATATATATATATATATTCTCTTAGACACATGTTTTAAGGCTTAGGATGATATGGGGACACATATGCATTTATTTCATAAAAGTTTTTAGTAAACAATTGTAATTTCACGACACGAAATTTTTGTCAAAGCTTAATACTACTACCAGTGTCGGCTCAATACGTAGACAGTTGGTTGGCCCATACCATTATACGTATTAATTAGAAGAAAAAATAAATAAAGCCAAATGGGCTTCAGCTGCTGTTATAACAGATCAGCCGAGAGAGAGAGAGAGAGAGAGATGTGAGAGAGAGAAGAAACAGTAACGTTGTTGTTGTGCATGTAAACAAGCAAGCAAACAGTAATGAGATGAGATGAGGACAATATCTCTCTGTGCTCGTGGGGAGCCAACTTAGCCGACCATGGCCCGCCCACCAAAGCAAATGCTGGGTTTGGATCTAACTATGTATGCCTCCCAAAGCCACAGAAAATTCAATTAATTTTTTAAAACAATATGGTATATGTATACTTACATAACATCTATCTCAAAATTACAACCCTTAGCTTATAGCTAGCTGGCTTCTGTTCTGCTGTATGCATGGATGGTTGTATATTGTACAATCTCTCTCTCTCTCTCTCTCTCTCTCACACATCAATATTCAATGGGAGCAGGAGGAATAGGATGATGGGGGACAAGCTCCACAATCTTTATTACCAACTTTGTCTTTTGCCTTTGTTATGCTTGTTCATCATCAAAGTTGAGTCTTTGGGTTGTTGAGGTAAATTTTATTTTCTTCATTTCCATAGAGCTAGTATGTACACATAATTGTATACCGTTTGTACACAGTGTTCAATAAGTGACTTGTCCTTTCAAGTCCCAAGATTATCTCCTCTCTCTCTCTCTCTCTCTCTCTCTTCTTTAGCATATTTTGTCACTGTTTGGTCACACCTCACAAGTGATTTCTTGTCTCTCCTTTTACTCAGTTGGGTTTGCTTTATCAACCTTGATTTTTGACATTTCTTTAACCCTTCACCCTCACACTACACCGCTGCTTCTTTTTGAGTTGGTGATTTTGTTCAATAGGTCTCCACTCTCCTCCACCTTATTATTAACTTTTGGTCCTCTCTCTCTCTCTCCCCCTTCTGTGTGTATATTAACCCAATCCTAGCAAGCCATCCATTCTCTAGCTTCTCCCACCTCTCATCATCATCACCATGACAGATCCCTACTCTAATTACTTCAATAATGGCTGGTTCAATCTCAACCCTCTCCACCACATCTCCTCGCCCTCCACACCTTCTTCTATTAATCCATATAATTTCCATGCTCCTCCTAATTATAGAGATTACAACAATTTCTGCTCATCAAATAACTTGATGGTGCACAATCAAAGCTTTTTCATTAATCACCACCAGTCTTCTTCTTCATCATCATCACCTCCCTCACCTCCTCTAAGAGAAGCCCTTCCCCTCCTCAGCCTAAGCCCTTCAAGACACCATCATCCTCATGAAGACTTGCAAGAACCCTCTTTCAATGCCATGGAAGCTGATCATCAAAACAACAACAACAGTAGAAAAGACTCAGCTGATCACCAAAGCTTGGTCGTCTCCAGCTCTGCTGATATTGTTGATCAAGATGAAGTTGATGAAACTGTTACTGTGGCTTTACATTTAGGGCTTCCGAGCAGGACCCTATCAGCTGATTTGATCTCTAGGCTCTCTTCCCCAGAAATCTCATCAGATAAAGAAGTAGTAGATGTGACTGTTGCTTCAGCTGGGTATGCCCCAAACAGACTCAACAAGGGCCAGTATTGGATCCCTACTCCTGCTCAGATTTTAATTGGTCCAACCCAGTTCTCATGCCCTCTTTGCTTCAAGACGTTCAACAGATACAATAACATGCAGGTACAACATATTTTAGCTTTCATATATGTCTGAATTGTTCCATGATTTCTTAGCTAGAGGGAGGAAAAAAAAGGAAAAAAAAAAAAGTTGTGTGAAATATTTATTTATTTTTATAAAGAAAAAAGTATTCACTTTTTGTTTTCCTAGCTCCCATCACTTTCTGCTTCTGATCATATTCTCTTGATTTTACTGAGAAAGAGAAAATCCATTCCTATCTATCTTTGTTTTGTACACTTCTTTTTTAGCTTGATTTTAGTCTTTAACTTTTATTATTATTATATATATATGCTGTGGACTGGTGAGAGGAAAGAGCAGCGGTACTATATGGGTCCTTAGGGTTTCCCTTTTCTTCTTCTTGCAACTTTAAATCATTTTTACTTGCTTTTGTTTTGTATGTCCAGAATGGCACTTTATATTATGATCACCACACCAGCCCCTCTTTTTTTTTTTTTTTTTCTCATCTTTTTGCATGATTTGTGGGTTTTGGGATCTAAAAAGTAAGAATAAATCTCAGCTAGCTACTTGGTCCAAGACTGAGTCTCTGAGAATAATTATGATCAGCTCTATAACCCCTCTTTATGTGATTGAACTACACAGCAATTGTGCTTTTTGCTCCTTGAAGTTTGTGTCTCTCACATTGGCTTGGCAGCTGTCTCAAACCCAAGTTCTTCCTGCCTTCAGAATCAGATGATCTTCCTCATCAAACCCCGAGGAACCAATAAATTTCTCAGTATCATCAACAGTGCTATATATAACGTTTGCTTTATCTTTTCATTTGAAAACACCTTGACCCATCACCCATGTTTGTTTTAGAAAAAGAACAAATTACAAATGCTAGCAATATTCAAAGAATTCTAAAAAGAATCAACATTTCAAAGACATCCGAATCTTATGCACAACAAGTCCAACTTTTTATTCGGTGAAAGCTAGTTCCTTTACATTTTCATTTTCTTCCCTCATCAGCTTGAGGTGGGTTTTTGCTTGACTAATTAATAAAATTATATGTGTAGATGCATATGTGGGGGCATGGATCTCAATACAGAAAAGGGCCAGAGTCTCTAAGAGGAACACAGCCAACAGCCATGCTTAGACTGCCTTGTTATTGCTGTGCACCAGGTTGCAGAAATAACATTGACCATCCAAGGTCAAAGCCTCTCAAAGACTTCAGAACCCTCCAAACTCATTACAAGAGAAAGCATGGGATCAAGCCTTTCATGTGTAGAAAATGTGGCAAGGCTTTTGCAGTGAGAGGTGATTGGAGAACCCATGAGAAGAATTGCGGCAAGCTTTGGTATTGCACTTGTGGCTCTGATTTCAAGCACAAGAGGTCTCTCAAAGATCATATCAAGGCATTTGGACATGGCCATGCAGCTTATGGCATTGACTGTTTTGAAGAAGATGATGATGCGGCCTCGGAAATTGAGGAAAATTACTCTTCCCAGTGAGCTAGTTAGTGACCTTGGTTTAGAATAACGTTTGCTTATGACCGGAAGCCAGCTAGCCTAGCTATGCTCTTTTCTTCATTCTTCTGTTCTTGCTTCTTCTTTTTCCTTATTTTTTAAAAATCTTTCCTTAATTAGCAATGGCTCCTCATACATCAATGATAAACCAAGTTCCTGTAATTTTTTTCTCTCTCTCTCTCTCTCTCTCGCTCTCTCTCATGCTCACTGGCAATTTCTTTTCATCAGTTTTTTTGGGTGAAGGTACATATCTTAGCTATACATGGCCATGAGGAAAATGAATGGTACAATATGCGCTCCTTTTTCCAACAAGTATATCCCACTTTTTCTCATCTCTTAATTGCAAATTAAGAGTAAAAACCCTTTGGTGGATATATAGGACTTGCTTGCTAGTTGTTGGAAACATCAAAAACAACGAAAGGGCAAAAGGCTTAAGCAGCTCAAGTCATATCATTTATACAAACGCAACTCAGAAGATCCCAAGCCAAGCGTGTATTCTTCAAAGTTTCTAA